AAAGCACACTTTTGACGTTTCAGAAGGATTACATTGTTCTATTTCCGAACGCAAGTAACATGTACGTCAAACAATTACGAACGCTAAAATTGTTACATAGTGGTACAACTCGTAACAGTTTACGAACGCAGCCCAGTTTAGTTCTATCGTAAGAATCGTCCGATTCAACTAGTTCGTTCGCCGGCGTTGGCTAGCAAGCAGTACCGCGGTCTGGCGTCGCCGCCGTACCGCAAGCTGTGGCGTCAGGTTGGCGGCGAGCTGCTCTGTGAATTCTCGGTATGGACAGGTACAGCGATGATCGTCGCCTTTTCTCGGAATCGGAATCCACCATGCGAAGCCGGACGGCCGAGAACCAGACCGTTTCCTCACCCCTCTTTGCTTTTGTTTTTGCGGTGTTGCCAGATAGAGCGCAGAAAAAAGCACAGTGTCCACAGGTCTGACCTCTCGGGAAAAATGTAAAAACCCGAAATTAAATGACCCTCCTCCCCCAACAGTGCGGAAGCGACATCGCACGCGTATCGACACCCGAAAGTTCCGTTATGTTACGACATGTTTATGTTGTGCTACGTCGACTTCAAAAGTATTTGGATTTGCTACTGCCCTATAGATCGGGCTGGGAGCTTCAATCCCAATTTAATTGGGTATCTTCAGCCATTGATTAACGCATCCAATATCCGATTGAAATGAGCCAAAGATCGAAGATCCTAACGCCACCTATATCAAAATAGTAAAACACTCTTAGCTCGTTGCAAAGTAGATTTCTGAGTTTTTTGTGTTTCATAGTTGACGCTGGTATTTTCCAGGTACCTTTTTGGACGCCGGGATACAGCATATGATTGGCTATATTCAGCTAGAATACGTTTACGAATGCTATTATTTGATTTCACGAACTTTTATGTTTTTCCGACTTTTTATCTGTACCAAAATATTCGATCGAATCTCAGAGAGTTGGCAACACTGTACGCTCGCTGTGCTCTTCATGCTAGGGTCACCAAACGTCCGCAAGGTAGAAGCGCCATTGTGATGTAAATATATGATGAATCACCCCATTTATGGTACCCAAGCCCGACCAAATCACAGCCTCCTAGCATAAAGCTTAAAGATAAGTAGATTTAATAAAGGGTCAGGTTAACACAATTTATGTCACAGCATAATTAAAAAGGGTTGCGACAATTTCTGAAATGTTATCAAGAATATAATATGATAGGTTAGATTAGACAGATGAGGCATTAAATGAGTTCATCTCCAGTACAGAATTTTTTGGTTACGTTGTTTGAGATTTTTTTGTCTGATCTGTGTTGTACTATTTATAAAACCCATTAGCGCTCCTCCCTTCACAAATGTGTCTTAAATGGGGAGGTTGATCCTTATCGGAAAAAGTGCCAAGCCAAACCACAGCCTCTTAGCATAAAGATAAGCCGCGAACAGAGTACCTATGAGAATAAAACAAATAAGGAAGCCTTGACTAACTAGATTAAGATTGCAAATCGCGACTATGAATTTAGAAAATGCCTGATGTCACATCATCTTTATAGACTACTTCATACGTTTTGCACCAGTTTGAAAGAGTTACTTTGGTAATAGATATTTTTCACATTTTAATGCAACGCTATTATAAATGTAAATGTCTCTATATAATCTCTATATAGTCTGTCATCACGTTTGAACCACAAACGGAGATTACAAATTACAAACCTATTAGCACGAAATAGTCGAAGAATCCATCCACGAAAAAAGACGAACACAAAATCTATACACAAATCACCACTCAAAAGTATTCACAAAACATGGGCAATGGACACAGAAAAACAAAAATCACAATCTAACATTTCACCAAAATGAACACCGACCTTTTCGTTACGCGTAACATCGAACCCAAAATGCATTTAAATAAAAAGTCACAGCCTACTAGAAATAATTTCAGGAACTATTCGACGGCTCTTTTTCCGCGAACCCAAAAACCAGTCAAGACACACACATTTGCAGCCAGAAAACAGCGTATTGTCATGGCCTGCTATGGTATTGAAATTTATCAGGGACGAGAATATGATACGTAATGTTGTATACAGTGTTGAGCGTATTTACTATGCCTAGTTAAAAAAAAACTCAAACAACCAAAGATGGATAGTAGGGAACAATCTGATAAAACTTAATTTATATTGTTTATAACCTACAATTATATAACAGTCGCCGGATGACTTTGTTATAATTTTTCTGGTATAAAACAAATCCTAACGTATAGTGTTTGGCTCCTAATCACTTTAATTTGTTGCTAGGGATAGTATCAGTAGGCACGATAAGTATATTCAATGAACGATGTTTTTTACTTCTATACTTTTAATACTTCGCGCTTTGAACCACTGTACGCTTATGCATTGTGCGACATTCGAGACGTTTAAAACAAAAAGAGTATTCGGCATTTAGCGTCCGCTGAAAAATGAAAAAGCTGGAGGTGCCCTCAGCTGCCTCATGAAAGGTATACACCTGCCTGTGAATAAATCCCCTCTGGTTAGACAGGTTCACAAGTGCTTACATAATGGAGGGACCATGGTTGCGGTATCACACTACATTATGCAACATTATTAACTGTATACATACATCATATTTCCTTTGTATCGGAAAAAAATTTCGTTCAAGGTTTTCCCATAAAGAAAATAAGCTAATATTCCCAGGTCAGTAATTATTACCACTCTGCTATCCGATCTCAATATTTTGGCCTCATGCCATTAACTTTATGTTTTAGAACTCATTATTTAATCACCATTTTGCTTCTATTTCCTAATGCAGTGATCCATTGCCGATGTCACTGCACATTCACTTTAATGGCCTGTTAAATTTTATGAACCGTATCGTTATCCTACATCGAGCCAATTCCGAAATCAAACGCCTGCAAAACAGCAATGTTGCTACATTTTGGATGATACTCATAAAATTTGTCTGGTGGAAAGATTTCTGTTTAAGGGTAAAAGTACAGCACAATCTGTGATGAGTGAAATATGATTAAGATGTGCAAAATATACCAACGTCAAAACATATATAGATATCACAATATGACCAAAATGTTTAAACATACGAGTACAATTTACAAGTTTTGTCTTGATCCTTTTGAATTATGTATATCATATACTCTTTTTTAGACATTTCTATATTTTTTAACCACAGAATTATTTAATTTCGATCTAAAAAAGTAGGTATATATATATATATATATATATATATATCATTGACAGAATTATCACACATCACAGAAGATTATAACAGAAACAGAGAGATATATTTCCATATATCATTTATGCTACGTGAAGTGCCGCTTTCCAGGCTGATTACGTAAATAAACTGGTAGATAAATGTAGATAATCGCCTTTTTGAATTCACAAACAGCAACGTTGCCAACTCGGCAATAAAAATATCTGTAAACGCTCTTCGAATATGTTCCGATCAAGTGCACAGAATATCGAAAGTAAAATCACTGCCGAAAACATTTCATGATTGGAATCTTAAAACTCGAGAAAAATAGTCCAAACTTACACTTTGTAACGATGTATAAATTATTCAAAATAATTGTTTCATGTGCTTTTAAAAAATAAACTCTTGCCGTTATATACATAAGTGAGACGTTGTTAGTGTTAATACTATTCATATCACTATTCAGTATACTTTGGTTCTGATAAGAGGGACTTATTTTCATTTTATCTCCTATTTATAACAATTTATGGTGCAGCTGAACTAAATAAGAGTTGGTGACTATCAATTTCTGCAATGTTATCAACGTCGTAGCTTAGATTAGGACGGTGATGTGAGGCATCTGATGATTTTATCTCCAGTTAAGTTATTTTCGTACATAACTTTTAGGTTATGTTGTTTGACGCAGTAACGCTTATTTATAAATACCATTAGCACTCCTCCCGTCAAAAATGGGTGACTTTAGGGGAATTACGAGGTTCCCAATTGATCATTATCGGAAACCATATCGAGGCTAACCAGACAAAATGAAAAAACTAAGTTATATTTTTGGAGGCTCTTCTAGAGATAATAAAATGCTGCTGGGTAACTTTTGTGTATCTCTCAAGAATATAATTTTGTTGTACATGGAAAATTTCAAAAACTTCATAATATTTTCCAGGTTTTTCTCTTGGCCGTTTTAGTAAGAAATTTTTTTGCCGCAAGCTTTTATAATGGATAGATAATAAAAATTAGTATCTAAATTACAAAAATTTCCCAGCGAAATACGCCGACGTAATTAACGTTCCTCTTGCTTTAATCGAAAAGCGGAGTACTATTTAGTGACGATCCAAAAAAATTGCAACTCTATATACACAAACACTACTCGTTACTCCAAACTACGCCGTTCGTAAATAACTTTGACAATACTTTACGTCAAAGTCCGAATCGTTACAATACCCTTGCTCTGTCTCAGTCGGCGTGGTATCGAAACTTCAGCCCGCGACGTTCACTTGTTTTGTTGACTGATTCCGCTGTTGTCATTCATCCATTCGAGCGAAAATACCGCTGTGGAATAAAAGGATTTCGCGGAAGCTGTTTAATATTTAAAAAGAATATAAATATTCTTGGAAGGAGCGTGAGACCATGTCGGCGAGACTGGTTTTAGTACGGTGAATTTAGAAATAGACCAATCGGATGAGACGGAAAAAACCAATTCTCCCAAAATCGTTTTAATTTTTAGCCGACTCCAAAATGAATTGCACATTAACAGTGCCACTTTTTCTGCTCTACAAGATGGCATAATTAGAATTTCAATAGGACGTTTCGTCTGTTGTCCTCCAGAATCAACTTTATTTTTTCATAATGGACTTTTACACAGGTGAATTGAGTTTTTAATTATGATTCCAAAAATGTATGATATGTCATACATTGACATTGCCAAACCTCAGGTATTCCAGAAAAACAGAATTTTCTAAGTAGGCCTTGAAATTACCAGATAATCGTTTGTTTTGAAAACCAGACCGACCTCAGAGATTGGAAGTTTTTGAGCATTGAAAATGGCAATTTCAAGTTTTTTCGCTTATAACCAACGTATAACTCGGAAACGATCAATTTTAAGCTACCAGGAATGGTCGAACTTTTTTCCGGCTCGTCTTTCGATATCTTATTCTACAGTGACTGTACTCTTCCATCTCAAATATCTTTCCAAGGAATCCTCTTCATTGAAATCTCGGCTATCTGTATACCATTACTCATTTTTGTTTCTAAGAAAAGCCAGGCAGATTTTGTGCCCGCATTTATTACAGGTAAGGTATACATTTGTAAATAATAGATGTATAATATACGTTTACAAGGAATTAGTAACTTTAAATTGCAAATGAATAGTTTAAATTACGCCATTTAATAATGGCAAAAAATATTATGAGTTGTTTTGTTACGGATGGTGAAACAATTGACAAAAAATCTTTCCGTAAAAAATAAACGGCAATAAAAACAGGCTAGCCTTGGAAACAATATTACAGGACGCCTTTATGGCTTCCTTGATTTTTATTCTTTTCTGTTGATCCGTCTCAGCGCTCTATTTTGATGTTATATTACAAATATCTATTTGCACAATTTGTTCATGCTTTTGATCTATATCATCTGTTGTATCAGCCTGAAATTTCCTAAGATTCAAATGAAATACGTAATTTTTTTCTACAATTTTGGCGACAGTATTTTTGTTTTGTGATATCGCAATATTATGTTTCCTAATGGTACGTTCACAATAGGGCTGAAGATCGGAAAAAGAGCGATCCTATATAAAAAAAATGCGTCAAGTAGATCGACTATATACTTTCTATGTCTTCGTCCAACGAACCGCCTTATCTCAATGCGTCATAAATACTGAATCAATCTACTTGACGAAATATTCAGAGAACCATCATAGATGGAGTAACATAAATTAATGGTTAGACGAAATGGGTGGTACATTCAAGGATCATAAAATTCAGAAAAATATATGTGTAGATATAAAAAGATTCAAGTCACAATTTACAAAAACATCACAGAACACTCCTACTCATATCAAAAAATAGTGTTTTTTGCTTTTGGATTCTTTGTTTGTCCATTATAGGCGTAAATATCATTACTTGTACATTTGCCATTTAATTTCTCGTAATCTGTTGACTACACAATTTTTTATGGAAGCAAAATTCCCTACAAGATTTTTTACATTATTTTTTTACGTAGCATCGATATTTTTCGAGGATTTCGATCAGACTCGTTTATCAAAATGTAATCTAACCATACCACCAAAAAAATGTACTGTCCGCAAAATTGTAGGAGTTCCTTTCATAAAATTCTCCGGCCGCTAAATTTTTACTCCCGAGCTAAATATTCAAAATGCCCTTCAAATTCATGGAAAAACTGAACACCTCCGTTGCTGAGAGTGTAACTAATTTATTAGTAAACCTGCTCATGTTGGAAGGTAAGGTTAAATTTTAGCCATGGTCTATTGATAAGTAAAAACCAATACTGTATCACAAATGAGTCAAAAATCCGATATATCAGACTGGTTCAAATGTTACGAGGGACCCTGGAAAATAAATCTGCCCAGCTATGAAAAAACAATTGATGCAAAAGCAAAATGTATGAAATAATGACATTGGAAACTTTGACCCAATTTTAACACCAAAACTGCCCCTAGTCTCAGGACTCTCGATTCTCTGTAAAATTACCGGTTCTTTTCATTACCTAAACCACACATTATCCAGTTACCTAGGTACGTTTCAAAAAGTCATTGTATCATATTGTAGGTATGTATACACAAAAGAATAAAGCGAACATCATGTAATAAATTTAAATCTAAAATTAGATCCAGCAATTGAGTCCTTACTCCCAATTCCAACAATCTGTATCTGTTGATATTCGGAGCTACAAACTTATAAAAGTAACAGGATGAAATACCGCTGCCATGACGCACGATTGCAAGATCACATCAGTTTCAGTTGGGTGACTCATAATTATTGGCTATACAACCTTTCGATAAGCATTCTGCCTATTTTCCTCACAATATGCTCTGATTTATAAAGGTATTTCGGTGGTTTGCACTGAATTTTTCGAGTTCGTGGGAAGTAGCGCTAATTTTAGCTTTGGATATCGCGAAAATGACGTAAATCAGCCAAAAATCGAGACCAAGCATTTCCGGAAATACGCGAGAATGTGGCAACGTGGGCGCGGCAACATGTGGAGGTATGAAGGAATCCTGCGGCGCGGACAGCGGGGCGAAGCGAGGGGAAATCCAGACAGACAGCGTATGACGCCAAAGTGATAGTCACAGCGGCGCCAGTACAATACTGTGCAAAAAAAGATCATCTACATACGCAGAATGCCACAAAATCAGCTTTGAATGCGGAGCTGTCAAATATGGAAACATGAATGCGATTCCAAGGCATCCTAGATTATATTCGTACTTACCAATATTCGAGATGGAAGCAGTTATCGCCCACGTAAAAGTTGCAAAACCGAACTGTTTACATCATGCGAAAACGTTTGACACCGAACTCAAACGGCTTTGGGACCATAACAGGATGATCTCGGGTGCAGGAACACAATATTTACAGAGAGTGCGATGGCAAAAATTCACTGGTGCGACGAATCAATCTGTTTGGCACTGTATTAAGCGTTCTATATACCACTCATCGTAAGGTTTCACGTCTGTAACGCACTTATCTACGAAAATTCTTGCTAAACTAAGATAAATCTAAAGATACTGCGTGTACAATACACACTAAATATGATATGGTGGGTCACACGGCGCCATGTTTACTTGTTTTGCTCTGTCTCGCTCGCTCGAGTCGAGCTGCTCCAATGCTGGAGTGCTGGCAAATATATTCCTAAAGGAGGACATACACTACATCGAACGGTGCCATTGTCGGGTCATTAGAAGTTAAAGGAAATAATAAAATGAACAGACTGAATTGTTGGGAAATAATGAGTCAATCTACGGGTTAATATAACTTGCAATTATTAGATATATAATGCTATTAATGAAGATTCGTTATAGAATTGTACCATTGATCAAAACTGTTACTTGTTACTGTATAATGCGCCGAGGTTTTGTCGTAATTATTATAACTCTTTTGTCACGGATGCGTCAAAAGCTCACCTTATCTTAAAGCTGCATATTTTTAAACCTCTAGGGTGGCTATCACCAACCAAGAGAATCCAAAACTTAATTAGTATGTCGTTGAAAATACATAGATTAAATCCCTGACGCTCTTTAAAGTAAATTTAAAAATTCATTTTGTGTTCTGATACTGTCTCATAATTGTGGCAGATTGTGTCGAAGAAAATCTAAATAAATTTCACCGGTCAGTCAAGGTGAAAAAAGTAGGGCCCAATAAGCATGCCATTTACCACGCCAGCCCAAACATTTAATGAAAATCTATGTTGAAAATGAGTTCTTTTTACAATTGTGCACTCCACTTCGTGTAAATGTGGCCTCGTCTGTACACAAAATTAATTTCGTAAAATCGAACTGTTCTAAAAGCCAATGACAAAACGCAACTCTTCTAGGATGATCTTCAGGTTGTAACGCTTGTACCCGTTGATAATGATAAGGATAATACTGTTCTTGTCGTATTGTCTTCCATACTTTACTATGAGAAACTTCAACTTGAGCTGCTACGTACTCATTGTTGGATCGTCTTCGATTATTTCTAAAATGTCTTCCTCATTTCAGGTTGAGAAGGGCTTCCAGCGTGACCTCCATTTTTTCACAAAAAGTAATCAGACAAATGAAAGTATACGCACTATTAAAAGACTGATACCACTGATCGAACCAAAGACTGGTACTGGAAACCATACATAATAGCACAAAACGTTTGCCAAATTTAGATAAACGATACGAGCAGTAAACAAAAAACGCTAAGATTTTGCACGTGAGTGGTCGATAATATCAAAAAAATCTGTGTAATAACAAGTTCTTATTTTTTAAATGTTTAATCTTTTACTATACTAAGTGACATATAAATCCGAACACCCAGTTTAAATGGTTTTATTTTAATAAAATTTTGTATAAGTACTTAATGAAGCATAATAAGTAAATGATAAAAATTTCAAAATGATTGCGCTGCTTTAAAGCCCTTTGACCTTATACCACACGTGCTCAATTGGGGATAAGTCGGGAGATCTTGGTGGCCATGGTAACAATGTGACATCATTATGTTGAAAGAAGAAGCATGTGGTCGGGCATTATCTTGTTGGAAAGTTGGATCTGCCAGGGTGTCAAGATAGGGTAAAAGATGGGGTTCTAGAACTTCGTGGATATAACGCTGCGCGTTCATGTTACCTCTGATGAAGATTAAAGGTGACCTGGAACCATAAGCTATAGCACCCCAAACCATAACTCCAACAGTGTGATGAACATGTCTTTCAACAAAAAACTGTGGATTCCTCCTTTCACCACGTCGCCTTCTAACCCTGGCACGACCATCGTGCATGCCTAAACAAAATCGAGACTCGTCACTAAAGACAATACTGTTCCATTCCTGATCCCAGAGTGACCGTTGCCTGCACCACTCAAGGCGATTACGTCGGTGTTCTCGAGTTAAAGGGAGGACCCAGTGTGGCCGGTATGAAAACAAGCCAAAACTTCTCATTCGTCGGTAAACACTTCGCATGCCAATAGGTCTTCCGTGTTCTGCAAACCATTAATTTGCAATGGACCTGGTAGTGGAGAAACGGTCCCTTAAGGCCAATAATCTTAGGCGGCGATCTTCACGGTCTGTTGTTCTACGGCGGCGTCCAGTGCCCCTTGCTCTTTGCGTACGGCCTTCTCGAAGCCATGCCTGACAACACCTAACCACAATGTCTACACTTCTTTGCACTCTAACTGCAATTGCCCGAAAAGAAAGTCCAGCTTCCCGAAGTCCCACTATACGACACCTATCAAACTCACTAAGTTGACGAAATCGTACAGGTCTCCCTACTTTAGGCATCGTAACCGATCGTAAAGGATGTCAAGAACCAAAATCCGCCAACGTTGATTCTTTACTGCGGCTGAAATATTCATTTTTAGACCGTTAGTGAATTAAAAAAAAAGCAGTATAAAAACCGGAATGTCCAACTGATAAGGCTGAAAATTTTTCACTTGTTATTTACAGTAAGATGAATACATTCACCAACTTTTATTAAAATAAAACCATTTAAACTGGGTGTTCGGATTTATATGTCACTTAGTATATTTCTTTTATTATGCAACTTTTATGTAGGTCATTTATGGTATATCATCTCCTTTTGACGAGTCCTACAAGCAGTTAAAATAAATGACTAAACTTTGAAACTTTGTATGTAATGTGTGAAACTTTTAATGCCTTGTCTAGTTATTGCGATATACTTAAACAATGTATATGTTTCTCACTTGAGTGATATATGTTTTTGATCGTTTTTTTGTTTGTTTTTCCCTTTAGATAGAATCACCTGTTTTTGTATGTCTTCTATTTTTGTTAGTTTGATTTATCTTCTTAGGATAGTCCTGTAAATGATTTCTTTAAATGTTGAGCAATAAACGCTATGCATTATTATTATTAAGTCATGGTAAAAAACGCTCAATTTGCCAGACCGCCTTTTTAAAATATAATCCTAGGATTATATAGTATTGAGACTGAGCTTCAAAATGATGTATCACGCGACACTTGACCCCCATTCGATTTGAAAAATGTTCAAAGGTGGCACCTAATTTCAATTTTCAACTATTAATTCTACACTGGAATATAGTATTTATGCACAAATTTCATCAGTCCGTCTAAACTTCCTGACCTGCCTTTTAAGAAATTAATAGGGGGCATAGAGCACTGCCACCAATATGCAAATCGTGTATGTCCCGCCTTATCAATCGTTTCATTCTGGAATCGCCCTTCTCCACTCCTCCCTCCCCCCACTTCTCACTCCCTACCATCATACACTCACACACAGCCAGCAAACGTCAAGCCATTTGTTATTCTACCTTCTTTCTTCGAAAACTTTCAAACCTGTTTAACAGCAGCCGTCTCTGTCTCAGCATGGATTCACCTTACCGCTAACGCTGTCTTCCGTCTCTCTTCGACAGTCGATGCTCTTTTTTTCGCGCAGAACAGCCGATCAGGTTCAAAGTTCGATTGTGGAAAGACAATAATATTCGGAGATATCAAACGCTAAATAAAATAAGCATATTGTTTATCACAGTAGGCTGTTATCAATGTCAACTCTGAGAGAGACAGTGAACGCGCAATAAAGACCTCTTATGATTTTAAAATAGGTAGGTAAGACAAATTGCGGACAAACAATACCCACATAAGAGAGAATCAATTAGTACTTAAGAGCCATTTTACACACAAGAGAATTACTCCGAAAATTATGGTCATAATTATGCCGAAAATTTTTGCTGTCGTATTACACGTAAAAGAATTCTTGTGAAAATTTTCATGGTAAAAATATAAAACCCGTTCTATATTATATGCGCGAGAATCGGCGCAGAGGGTTATTTCCGTGCATGTCAATATCAAATGTCAACGACAACAACAACAACATAACCTCGCTTAACATTTGTGGAAGTGGTCCTGTTCGAGTCGTACGAAGGAGCGTTTATTGTTATTGTTTATTCATAATTTCGTGGAATCGGGAAGAATTTACAATGTTGTTGGACGAGTACCAAAAATGGCCAAACCTGTACAAGGTGAAGTCACCCAATTACAAAAACAGAAATTTGCGGCGTCAGGCGCTGGATGCGATAGTCCAAGCATTGAGAAGTTTTATAATATTAACCAAGATCTCGATTTCAAAAATAAATTTAAATTATCGACGTCTGTTGTCTTTCCGATTATATTGGACGTCATACCCGTTAAGGTTATGTCCATTTGAAAATATAACTCTAATGCGCAGGCGTATCATATGAATTACTCCGAAATTTTGTTTGCTTGTGTCATACAGGTTGTAGAGAAAATCTTCAATATTTTTTCCATGCAAATTTTCAGCATAATTATGACCATAATTTTCGGAGTAATTCTCTTGTGTGTAAAACGGCTCTAAGAATATCGGAAACACATTAGTGACAGCTGTCATTCAAACAATGAGCAAATACATCTCTGTCTCGGTTTCGCATAAACATCCAAATGCGTAATAGGTAACAGCATGTGAATGTAACAGGAAGAACAAATTACGGGCAAACGAAACGAGTGCTGGGTTGTCTATTTTCCGAATCGTCAATCCGGTCGTCATAGGTTAAATTTAGACGGCAGTCAGATTGACGAAAATACACGTAACCAGCGAATTCTTGGAAACGCAGGCGTGTTGCGGAATTTGGAATCGCCTCCGTGTTGCTCCGTTATAGCACAGTGAAATCGAACAATTCATTCATTGAAATGCATATTCATCAGGTAGTTGCAGCGGTTTTATACTGTATGGCAGTTGCTTTGACAGTATGCAGCATTTTCAATTTTCGATCAGAATTGATCACATGAGGCGCGAGAACC